CGTTCGCTGTGCGAGGCGTTCGTTATGCGAGGCACCACTGTACTTTGTTCTCTTCTCGCCGTGTGTCGTCTATTACTGCGACTATAATATTCTAATGTATTTCTTCTTTTACCAGAATAAAAGGATGACAATTTTGGTTATCCGTGTATTTGTGCGAAATGGGAAATGTAATTACTTATATAAATGGGTCTATCTCGAAATCCCGACAACCATAACACCGACAGTATCAATAACCCGACAGTAACAAAAAAAAAACAGGAATATATCGAAATCCCGACAACCATAATACCGATAGTATCACTATCTTTTATTATTTGATATAGACTTATTCAGGATACGTGACAGCTCGGCGACGGACAAGTGGGCGACGGTCAACAGGATACCTGCCAACTTGGCGACGTTCAAGTGGACATCTGCCAACTCGGCGACGATCAAGTCGGCGATGGATATTCAAACAAAATGACAAGACTATCGCCGATTTGTCCGTCGTCTCGACAATAAGAAATATTCTAAAATACACTTAGATTATTAATTGTTGTTGTTAATAACAAAATCCAGGTTGTCGAGATTTCGATTGCCACCGTATTTGAATATCTTTTTGCATGTACTTTATTCTCTTTTCGCCGTGTGTCATCTATTACTGCGGCTATAATATTCTAATGTATTTCTTCTTTTACAAGAAAAAAGGATGACAATTTTGGTAATCCTAGTATTTGTGCGAAATGGGAAATGTGATTACTTGTATGAATGGGTCTATCTCGAAATCCCGACAACCATAACAACGACAGTATCAAAAAAACAGGTATATATCGAAATCCCGACAACCATAATACCGATAGTATCACTATCTTTTATTATTTGATATAGACTTATTCAGGGTACTTGACAGCTCGGCGACGGATAAGTGGGCGACGGTCAACAGGACACCTGCTAACTCGGCGACGATCAAGTCGGCGACGGATACTCAAAAAAATAACTTGACTATCGCCGACTTGTCCGTCGCTGAGCTGCCGCGTGCCCACTTTTCATAATAAACCTCAACAATAAGAAATATTCTAAAATACAATTAGATTATTAATTGTTCTTGTTTATTGTTAATAACAAAAGATACTGTCCATAATCCCGGTTGTCGGGATTTCGATTGCCACCGCATTTGAATATTCTTTTGCATGTACTTTATTCTCTTTTCGCCGTGTGTCATCTATTACTGCGGCTATAATATTTTAATGTATTTCTTCTTTTACCAAAAGAAAAGCATGACAATTTTGGTTATCCTTGTATTTGTGCGAAATGGAAAATGTGATTACTTGTATAAATGGGTCTATCTCGAAATCCCGACAACCATAATACCGACAGTATCACTATCTTTTATTATTTGATATAGACTTATTCAGAGTACGGGACAGCTCGGTGACGGTCAACTGATCACCTGCCAACTCGGCGACGGTCAAGTCTATGATCAAGTCTAATGTATTTTTTCTTTTAAAAGAAAAAAAGGATGTCAATTTTGGTTATCCTTCTATTTTATTCTCTATACGAAATGGGGAATTGTGATTACTATTTGATTCTCTTCTCGCCGCGCGTCTGTTACTACCACTATAATAGTCTAATCTGTTTCTTCTTCTACTTTCAGGTTGGCTGGAGGATCACCGTGCAATGGCTCGCCGGGAATTTTGCGTGCAAGGCATTCCTGTTCCTGAGGGCTTTCGGCCTTTACCTCAGCAGCAACGTGCTCATATGCGTATCCCTGGATCGCTATTTTGCGGTCCTACATCCTCTCAAAGTAAATGACGCCAGGAGACGTGGCAAAATCATGCTCGCTTTCGCTTGGAGCATGTCCCTTATCTACTCCATACCGCAGGTAACATAAAAAGAAGAACAACGTCAACGTAATGTTGTTACATTAGGGCACTCGCATTACGCACAGTGCCTTACGTCATCTATTATGTAAGCAAAGAACGCACGTGTCGCGAATAAGGTAACTTACACAAACAGAGAGCACTCAGACGTGTATCTTATTGCCAATTGCAGAATAGCTTACGACTTGTAACTTTCTTATATCTTAAGTATATTATTCAATCATTTTAACTAACAAAAACAAATAATTACAGTACATTATAACTGATTACAAAACAAGTATTTTTCTCATATAAAAATAATTAAATCATTAACGACAACAATTATTTTCTTTCTATAGTGAAAATGAAAAACAATAATAATTATATTATTTATAATATACTTACCAACAAAGATTTATAATCGAATTATAGACTTTGGAATAAATAACTTTGCAATGTATTAATTTTTTCACAATTGAAGTTAATGAATGAAAGAAAACGTTAAAAACTGAATCGTTTTAGGTTTTAAACGTCTTTAAAATTTAATAAATATATTACATTAGTCTTGTCTTTATCCATATGAAAATTCACTAACTAAATTAAATCAATTTCTTTCAATTTTTCAAAAACATTAAGCTTGGAGAAAATATAGTAAAATACTTTAAAAACAACTTTAAATAAATGAAAATCATATATAAAATTTCATTAGGATAATGTTATAATAAAACAGTATTAATATGTTAAAATTGTAATTACTCAATTAACTTTGATTTTTTTTATTCTTCAATTAGTTACAATAATTTTCATGCTACGCATTTAGTAACGAAAATTAAATGAAAAAGTGGATTAAAGAAAGACATTTTTTATGGAATATTATTAATTATTACTAAAATATTGTTCAATTTATTACAATTATTAATATTATAAATTTCATGAAGACAAGTATGTAAAAAAGTCAAAATATGCTTCAGAGAAATGTTGTTATTAGAAAATTTTAATTTACTAAATAAAACATATGGAAATCAGGATTTGTTATAAAAAAAATCAGCATTTGGGTAAAATAAATATTTACATTTTAGTGTTAAATAAAAAAATCTGCATATAACACTGTAGTGCTCTAAATTTAAATTTTGTTTATAGTAATAACGATAAAACAACATACATCTGAACTGTAAAGTTCCATTTATAAATATGTAACGTGAAACTTGTGAAAATTTTGCAACTTAGCCATTAACATAATAAAATAGGGTCAGCCGTCTACTCCTGGACGTTACCGTCCACCATTAGTGTCTTCTCTGCGGAATTGGACGTAATCAGGAGAGCGGTGGAGTTTTGTGCTGGTGTCGTGTTCCAGTGATGGTTTTCTGGACACTGTGGGATATCTTCTTGTGTTGTCTGTCGTGGAGCCTTAGGTTTGATAAATAATAAATTGAACGAGTTTTACTTTCGGTTTATTATTAAAATATACGATGCGACTTGATTATTTAACGTTCTTCCTAAGACTAATTACAAATACTTATTCTAGTTTGAGGTGTAAGGTATGGTTTTGATAAGACGCTACGCTTCAGGTCACTGCTTCTGTACGGATTCTGCCAATTCTGCGTCTGTGTACCCCAGTCGAAAATATGAGCGATGTTTTTATCGGTAATTGGTGTGGATGAAACTGCCTATTCTGCGTCTCAGTTGAAAATAGGAAGGAATGTTACAACCGGTCTCACGTTGAAGGTTCCTTTATGCTTATGTATATGTTTATATAATAAGGCGTCTAAGAGACTTCGTGGATGTCTCTAATTCGTTAATACACTTTATTAACAATAATAATTATAATAATAACGGTTGGACACAACACTGAATCTCCCAATACATCATTTATTATGTGAGCGTACTTCAGGAATTGACAAATGTCCTATATAGACCCGACGATGTTAGGAACCATGTGACTCTTTGTGTTCTAATGGAGTGGCAATCTTAGTGGCAGATGCTGGATAGCAACAAGTTGGGTCAGATCAAAATGACTATTGAGTCAAAGAAGTGCCCGATGACCCTTGAGAGGAGAGAGAGCAGGTGGCCGTGACCAGTCTTAGGTTGGGTCACACAAACCTGACTCATTCACTCATTCCCCCCGATGTGTGAGACTTGTAGGGTTCCGCTGACGGTACAGCACAATGTGGAGAACTGTAGCTATGTTCTTATGTTCTTGAATGAATGTTGATGCAAATATAAATGAAATATATCTATTTATTTATTCTTTTGTGTTCATTTTAACATTTTTAATAAGTAGTCCGTCTTGTACTGTCCACTTTGTTCATTTTAATATGTTGCTTTTAGATATTATTTTAACCAATTTAAGTTATTCATTCTTTTGTGACCTTTTTTAACAATTTTAATGTGTCTTGCACTCTCCAGTCCAGTTTGATCATTTTAATATGTTATATAACTTTGTGCATATTCATGTACGTATAAAGGCTTATGATCTCTAGTTATCGATACCTCCAAACAAAACAAAAATAAATAAATAAAATAGATAGAAACATGAATCTTTGATAATGATTCTAATCTAATCAATTAAGTATTTAAATGAAAATTTTGCAAGTAGTTGGAAACATTTTTATTATAATTTTTTATAAAATTAACTAATGTAAATCAATTGTAACAAAAATTTAAAGTTTTTGTTGTTGTTATGATAGGAAGTTTGGTTTGATAAAGAAAGAACAACTTTAGTCTTATGTATTAACTGCATTAGCTTTACTAACTGTATTAACATGTGACACTGCTGTTTGAGCGTTTGCACTACTACTACTTAATCCGTCGCTTAACGCTGTGTGTTTGTTGGATTAGTTGCAGCTTCTATTATCATTCTAACAATTGTTACCTAATTTTCTGACAATTTTCGTATTTAGACATTGAAAAATACAGTAATTCAATTCAAATGAAAAAAATAGATCGAAGAAAGATATTTTTATAGAATATGAATGTCTTTAGAGTTTCTCCTATACTTGTAGATTGTATAAAATTATACCCAAGACTCTACTTTTTTATACATTCAGTTAAAGAAATAGTCTGCAATGTTAATATTATTAAAACAGAAAAACATATTATCTAAATTTTGCAGAAATGCTTAAAATTTCTTAAATGTTAGATAAATACATCAAATCTTGTTACAAGATAAACTTATAAACGTTTAAATTACTTGTTATAAGTATAATTAACTTAATATTGCAGCTTCTATTATCATTCTAACAATTGTTATGTAATTTTCTGACTTCATATTTAGACATTGAAAAATGCAGTAATTCCATTCTAATGAAAAAATAGATCGAAGATATTTTTATAGAATATTAATGTCTTTAGAGTTTCTCCTATACTTGTAGATTGTATAAAATAAGACCCAAGACTACTTTTTTATACATTCAGTTAAAGAAATAGTCTGCAATGTTAATATTATTATTAATATTATTAAAACAGAAAAACATATTATCTAAAGTTGCAGAAATGCTTAATATTTCTTATATGTTAGATAAATACATCTAATCTTGTTACAAGATAAACTTTTAAGCCAATTTTCCGTAAACTCATTGAGATTTAGATGAATTATTGTGCCAAGAAAACGTTCAAATTACTTTCTATAAGTACAATTAAATTAATTATTGTTCACCAAAGTTCGAGAGGTCAGATTAACCCTCTTTGGTATCTTCAGTGTTAATATTGGTATATTTCCAGCAAATATCGTCAATTTTTGTGTTATTTGTCTTTAGAGTTTCTCCTATGCAATGTAGATTGTATAAAATGCGACCCAAAACGCTACTATTTTTATACATTTAGTTAAAGTAATAGTCTGTAATCTTAATATTATTAAAACAGACGAAACAATTGTTAAGTAATTTTCTGACTTCGTATTTAGACATTGAAAAATACAGTAATTTTAATCAAATGAAAAAGTAGATCGAAGAAAGATATTTTTATAGAATATTAATTCAATTTACTGCAAATTATTAATATTTCAATCAAATGTAAAAACTGTTTCAGAAAAATGTTATTATTAGAGAAAAAAAAACTGTATTCAGCAATTGAGTAAAGCAAATATTTACTATTGTGTTATTTACGTTCACAATTTTTTTATTTGTTATTACTGTAATAACGATAAAATAACATCCATTTGAACTGTATAATTCCATATATAAATATGTAACGTGCATCTAGTTCGATATAAAAAAAAAATGTTACAGCTTAGCCACTAACATAATAAAATGTATGGAAACATGAATGTTTGATCGAATCGAAGGATTTCCTCGCTGTAGCAAAATAAATCTATAAGAAGTAATGTAATTCTAAAACTGCAGCAGTATTCCGTTTACATTGCAACGGAATAGCTCACTTAATTATTACACGAATCCGAGCTCGACAAATCAAAAAAAAATTCAAATCATATTTTGCCGAAGAAAACTCGCTGTGCATATTTATTAGCGCGCTTGATTGGAAATCGATTAGCCTGCGTTTATTCGCTGATAAACTTAAGGTTTTTTTTCTTGATACAAGCGATTTCTCGTTACAAATCTTCTTTGCTTTCTCACTGCAGAAATGAAGTTTGCACAAAATTGAAACTCTCAAGCGTACTTCGTTCTATGCAAATTGCGACGTCTGTTATCCGTTATGCGGTTAATTGTTGAGTAATATCTGGAGCAGCGTTTTCTGCACGTGAAGAGATCAAAGGATCAATTTTGCCAGAAGGTGTGCGTTTCACTTTATGATTACATTAAGCGATACGAGTGCAGGAATCTTCATTAAAAGATAGCGGAGTTGAAAAGATGTTAAGATGATTCGAACAGTTTATGTAAATTTTACTACAAAGTTGAGACATTGTAATTAGATTTAGTTAATGTGCGAATTCGAAGTATAATCAATAAATTAATTAGATCATCAGTTGCAAGGAAATTGTTATTATTAGATTATTTTAAGGTCGTTATTTAGGTTCTAGTTATGGAGCCTCTTCCCGGCTTTGCTAACTGAATATGAATGCGTTAAG